ACTTATTTTTTCTAGCTGCTGTCCCTATGTAATAACTACCTGTAACAGTATTAATTTAGATATTAGCTTGTTTGTACTGTGCAATCTGAACAAAAATGCAACATTACTCATTTTATACAAAATAAACTAGTTTATTTTTTATAACATCACCTGATTACTGACATGGACCAAACTAGTCATCATAGAATAGTTACAGCATCTGTTGCTTTTCTAGTGTAGTTACTAAATGCACATCCATTTAAACTTTGAAAATTAAGAATATTAAGTTTAAAATAAATCGTGGTTTTATTTCTTTTGTAGATAAGATCAAGTGCTTTAAAATGTACAAATATTAAAATGTGGCTTTAGAATGGCTTAACTAAGCCGATACAACCAGTACAAGTGCAATAACTGCGAGTATTACTTGGAACGCTGGAGATTTTAGTGAGCATAGCCCGAATTTCCGTTTAAGAGTTGAACTGATACTGACGTTATAGGGAAGAGATCTGGTTCAAGAGTCCCAGCGTTAAGCTTAGTCTGCACTGTAGCTACTGGTTACAGATAATGTCTATCATACTTACATACCTGTTTTGAACAAACATCAAAAATCCATTATTGTTTTAAGGGGATACTTAATACTTTTTTATTATTAAAAAAACCTGCTTAAACTATGTTAAATAAAAACTGTGCTTCAAGTTAATATTTTTCTGTGGTTCTGTGGTAATGATGTAAGCCAAGCCCATCCTGACCAGCTTTCTGCTGTTCAGGTTTTGGATCTGTACAAGTAAAACGATACATTAACTGATACACTAACATTAGTATCTTACTACTGTGCTACTGTTGTTTAGCAGTTATCTTCTTCTTTGTGAAGTTTTGGAAGGTTGTACTTCTTTAGTAGTAATTCTCTATGCAATCTTAATGTGCTAATTTTGTATTTCAGTTTCACTGCTGTTATACCTGTAATTAAAAGACAAATATATTCAACTTTACTTGAAGTTACTCCTGTGGCAAATACCTATTTCTAACTTCAAGCCATTGATAGTAAGTTACCAGAATTCAAGTATGTTGTCTCAGAGAAACAAAGCTCTGAAAGAAACTACCTGATGAAGCTTTAGTTTGCCACACTCTACCCCTATGGCCTGTTTAACAGCATCAAGGTAACAAGCTTCTAAGTTAAAAATTTCCTTGTTAGTGCATCCTTGAACTTATATCCACCTATTGTTTTGTAAAGAGCCGTGTAACATTTTTAGTACTGGTATCTTGCTACTGTTGCTTAGACCATGTGAGCAGGCTATCGCCTGCATTCCAGGGTGAAGCATCTTGGAGCAGATAGCCACGCTGCAGCCTGTTGGTAGACACCACACCAGGGCAGCTGAAGGAAGCTGCAGCCCAGGGAGAGCCCATGCAGGAGCAGGTCTTTGGGCAGCAGCTGTGGCCTATGGTGGACCAACACTGGAGCAGTCTGTTCCTGAAGAACTACCTCATCCAAAGGAGGATCCATGCTGGAGCTGTTCACAAGAGACTCCCATGGGAGGGACCCCATGCTGGAGCTTTGGAACAGTGTGAAGAGGAAGGAGAAGCAAAGAAACTGGCATGGACTGACCATGACCTGACCCCCAGCTGACCATCCCTGATCTCTCTGCACCATTGTGGAAGAGGAGGCAGAAGAGTGAAGCTGAGATTGGGTTGGGTTTTTTTCTTTCTTTGTTGCTATCCTTTATTTTTAATTGACAATAAATTAGATTTTCCCCAAGGCCAGTACAGTTACAGTAACAGGTGACTAATCTCCCTGACTGAATCCATGAGCTCTTTTACCTTATGTTCTCCTGCTGGCCTGCTGAGGAGAGGGCTTGGAAGTGCAGTTTGGTAGCACCTGGCAGCCAGTAAAGGTTAACCTACCATGATAGGTTTCATCTACAGATAAGCATCTACTGAAAAACTTCCATGAAGACTGAGAATCCATGTTTTATCCATGCTCTATCTTCAAAACAGAAGTCATACTTAGGCAATTTCACATTGTCTGCTTACCCTCTTTTGTGACAGGGTTACTGATCTTCTATGGCTCTTTATCCATTCCTCATTAAGATTGCATATCAAGTTCTAAGATGGGTCATCCTGCAGCCTCCTTCCTGATTATTATCAAGAACTAGATTAAGTAAATCTAGCCCTTAAGGGGAAAAAAGAAAACCCAACAGAAACCAACAATGGATTGAACAGCATTACCATGCAGGCAAACCCTTCAGCAGCTCTGTCCCCTATGCTACAGCTGGCTCTGTATGGACTTGTTTGATCTTGTCTATTTGATTAGTGTTTTTCCAACAGGCTTGCAGCCTAACCTAGATTGAACAGACGGGTCTTGCTAATACAGAACAGCTCCACTGAGCTCAACAGTGCGTAACCTTGACTGTAATAGCTGAAATTCTCCCAACACTTTCTTCGAATGCTTCTACTTGACAGGCAATGTGAAGGTATGGTGACATGCTAATGCTGCATTCAATTGTATAACCACAACATGTTCAGGTATTCTTTGCAACCACATGCCTGAATTGATAAAATGCTTATTTCTGAAGCCCTCTCACCTACAGATACATAATAGAGTACTCTGTATGTTAGTACAGAACGTAACAGATTCTCAAACCCATCAAACATCAGGGAAGAACTCTAGCATTAGGGAAGAGTAGAGGAATTTAGAAAAGGCTGTGCCTGTAGACAGTTTTGGATGAATGTAGGGGAATTCCAGTCAACTAGCTGGTTACTGTCCCCACTAACAATAAAGACATTCTTTACTCCCATACCCTTCTATCTTCTATCCTTAGAACTACCAGCTTGTTGTTTTTATGCTTCACAGAGTACAACACATATGAACCACAGTACTTGAAGACTAATCATGTAGTGAATAGGGAGGCAGATGGACACTGAAACAGAAAAATCTTCCATCCTGTTTTTCTGCCTACCTTTGATAACCAGTACATTTGCTCTCAAGTATCAGTTCTGCAAAGAATACTTAGCTTTGCTACCAGCAACTGTTCCATACCACACCTAGTTTCAAGAACCACCTTCCTCTCCAGGCAGTCAGCCAGTGTCCGCAGTTAAGGTCCTCTGACCTTTCTCAGATAATTTTTACATTCTTCAGTCATGCATATTTCCATACAGCACTAACTCTTAGCCGTCTAACTCAAGCATCATTTAACAATATTTCTACCCAAAGCTTAAACATTAGTGGAATGAATAAAACTGAATCAAATACACCTTTAGTCCCACTGAAAATCAAGCATCATTCAATAAGTTTCACTTTTATTTACGGAGACAGAAATTTTCAACAAACTCCTCATTAAATTATTTAATAAGGGTTAAATCCTGAGTTAACAGAAGTTATTGCTTCACTGAAGTTTCAGAAATTGCTAACAGGCTGTTGTGGCATTTTATATTTTTGGCTTGCAGTACGATTCCTTCACACAGCAGTTTCTCCATTAAATCAGATGCAAAACACCAAGCTCACAACTGAGGAAGGCAGTAATTACCAGTGCAACTTTAGTTAACTAGCTGTGCATCAGCTAGAGTACAGTACAAAACATTTGTTGAGATTCAAGACACAAGAGTCATGAACTAAAACTCTGTTTTTCACGCAACAAAGTATAATACAGGAATTGTAGTTACAAACTGGATACAATCAAGTGAGTGATGATTAACTCAAGTGTTAATGTAGGAAGACACACTGATTTTCAGATACTGAGACCAGTTCATTATGATTACAGTAATTAAACCTCTTACCCTAGTCCATGAGTCAGTTGACAGTCTTTGTGAATGTACCTTGCAACAAATGAAACTGGTTCTTGTCACCACCACACACAACTACAGAACAGTTTGAAGGAAAAATACCTGATCAGGGAGCTGCTGTCCACCAAACCTCACACAAATTAGTGTCACAATTTTCTTTCACATGCCCTGCAAGCTTCCCAGTACTAGCATGCTTTTACTCAAAATGCTGCATGCACAAAATCAGCTTTGCGTGCGATTTGGCAATACTCATGAGATTAACAAAATACTGATCTGAGTAATATTTAGCGCAGTATTGATGTCTCTTATAGTTTGGAAAAAAGCATGAAGAAATTTCTTCAGATACACAGAGTTCATTGAATTTCAGGAACTAACATTAACTAAGACGTGGGAGTAAAAAGAAACCCAACCTAACAAAAACAAAGCAGAGACTCTAAATCAGTCATTTATAAAACCCATCCTGTGGAAATAATGCAAGAGCAAACCAAAGATACTAGATATCTTTTTAAAGATGACTCTTCTAGGTATTTTTCCTTATGGAAAGCAAGCCTTATTTTAAGAAACAGTTAAATGTATTAGCAAAGTGCAGTACTGTCTGTTACTTTACCAAAAGTCTCTTCAGAGGAGATGATACCAAAAATTAGCCAATTGTAATAAGTTAGAAGGTAACTTGAAATTTAGAGTAGATTAAGACATCCACGTAAAGGTGCAGGGACTTAGCACTCTTACATACAAGAGAGCAAGTCCCATGCTTTTATGCTGATACTGAAAGATCCCAACAGGAACAAAACTATAAGATGAGAGTTAGGTCAAACTTACACAGGTTCTAACACTGAACAGAGGCAAAAGGATAGGAGCTAGGTTTTTAACAGAAAGGTTAAAAATTATCTTATTTGAAAAGATAATCTAGATAAATAATGACCACATTTCATCGTAACACCAATTCTCTGGCATTGTGTATTTGCTAGGGACTGGAAATGCAATCTACACGAGCATCATAACTTTCAGTGACTTCATCCAGTGACAAAAGTAATGTTTAGGACTTTGCCACCTCTGCCCCCACCCCATGTGGACAAACATCTTTCAGCTGAAGATCTTGCTTTAATGGGACGGATAGGATTGGCAGGTAACAGTCCCCACATGTGCGCGAAGGATGGCATATTTTACGTAACATCAAAATAATTCCATGAGGCTCATTCATTACAATTGCCACCATATTGTGCTAACATTACCTCCTCAACTGCCATTTCAGTGGAAGAACCAAGGTGAGCTGTATTCACACTGACACAAAGTGTCACTATATCCCCAAGATAGCAGTAGTCTTCAAATAGTCAAACTGACAAAGAAACACCATTTGTCGCCAAATTCTTGTGAAAGTCTCTGCCATCTTCTTAGAAAGTGTTTGCTGCAATAGCATTCTGCATCAGAGAGATTACCCTATTAGTGCTGTGTTACTGTCAACATTAGAAGACAAACAGGTCGTAAGTGCAGGACCAACCAGAAGGAAACGTCCAGTTTGGAAACCTCTCCAGTAAGGCATGGAGTTGAGGGGACTTTTGATCTTCCCCAAAAAAGTAATGTGCTGCTATGGCGACGGAGACTATTCCATCAGAATGTTTTTCTGGAGCCTGAAAGTGAGAAAAGAACACAATCCTTATGATTACTTATGGCTTTTAAACACAGGATCAGTACAGATGTACTTTTCTACAGGCTTTGTTATCTATGCAACAGACTTTATCCTGCAGCACTTTGTCCTGTTAAAGCACTTTGTCCCGTTAAAGCACTCATCTTCAAACATGACAGTCTGATTACAGAATGAGTTCAATTTGAACTGGACTTGCAACTAGGTATTTAAGTAACACTGCCTCTGACATGTTATGTTTCTCCCACATCTACCTTCAACATTTGTAGCTATTGGTTTTGCTGACAAATCAAGACATGGACTCCAACACTGTCTATATACCGATACTTCTATTGTGAATCCTTAGGATGAAAAGCCTCTGCCTAGCTTTGCTACTATCAATCTTGGATAGGTTGTCTCACTGCAGATTCCTGTCTGCCTTTATCGAGTACCCTCAGTATTATTTGGTTAAGCATTTAGACTGCCTGCTCCAGGAAAGAACAAGGGACTTTCTAACTTTTCAAAGACTCCTGTCATATTTACTCAAGGAATAGGACCTGTTAAACCTATAATAAGAATCATACAGCACTGTGAAGAGGTCTTCACTGGAGGGCTGGGGGAGATGGGAGGACTAATCATATGTGCCACTGGAACAGCAGTGCTGGAAGCCTTGCTTGCAACTGAAAATAATGTGAAAGGAACTACAAAACAAAGGTTTTAAAACTCTTCAGCTTCAAGACAGGTGAGTTTCCCACCAAGCACTCCCTGTAATTTCCCAAAACCAAGCAAACAAAATACACGGAAAAGAAACTATTCACAACAGGAGAAATAACTCTGAAATAACAGTAAGAGATAAAGAACTATGATGCTGAGATCAGAAAAATCCAAACTTCTGACCTAAGGCCATGGAGATATGAACATATTTTCCCTTCGGCTGTTTGGCAAGTTAGTTGACTAAGCATCAAAAATATGTGTGAGCTGATAGGTAAAGTTCAGGGACAAAGTAAATGAGGAAAGCTATAGAATTAGGATCTATCAAACACAGCTTAAGACAGTTATTATGCCATTTTTCACCTAAGAATGAAGCAATGGTGATACCAGGGCACAGCAGAGGCTCGCCAGTTCCCAGGAGCAGCATACTCACCGTCAGCTCCACCCAAAAGTGCCATGGTGTTGCCTGCAGCCCATGAGAGTAAAACACAAAGTAGTCTCCTCCTAAGCTGGCAACTGGCACACCGTCCCCCAAAGACCAGGTAGAGAGAGTTGAGCCTTTGTATGGCCGAACATAGAGAGACATGTGACTGGGACCTGCAGAGACAGGGGTATGTATCTAGATGTATCAACAGGTAGAGGCAGAATAACCATCTACTTTCCTACATAGTAGCATGTTACCTGTGTATTACTACTAGTGTCTCCCAGAACATGATAAAACTGTCTTCTCTACAGAAGCAGCTTAAATTATTTATAAGCAGTGAGATAAATGAGATATTCATATAGGAGAGTGTCGTGGTTTAAACCCAGTCAGGTAATTCGTTCGCTCACTTCCCCCCCTTTCTTGCCCTCCCCCTGCTCTCGGAGGGACAGAGAGGAGAATCAAAAGAATGCAACTCCCACGGGTTGAGATAAGAACAGTTTAGTAACTAAGGTATAACACAGATCACTACTGCTACCACCAATGATAATAATGATAAAGGAAATAACAAGGGAACAGAATACAACACCTCACCACCCGCTGACCGATAACTCGCCCCCCAAGCCCGACCAAGCTCCGACCGATACCTCCTCCAACCCTGCCGTCTCCCAGCCCTTCCTGCTAACTCCCAGTTACATCCTGGGCATGACGTGCTGTGGTATGGAATACCTCTTTGGTCAGTTTGGGTCAGGTGTCCTGTCTCTGCTTCCTCCCGGCTTCCCCTCCTCCCTGGCAGAGCATGAGGCTCACAAAGTCCTTGGCCAAACCAAAACATCTCTATCAGCTCTGTTCCCGAGCTGAAAGTCAAAACACTGCACTACACCAGCTACCAAGAAGGAGAAAAATGACTGCTACTGCTGAACCCAGGACAGAGAGGGACAGAGCTATAAACGACTAAGACTTGGTGTAAAAAGATCAAGGGCTTACTCAAAATAGACAAGGTTATCAGTGCCCCCTATAACAACTGCAACACAACATCCAGAGCTTCTAGTGTGTTATGAAACTGCATTAATTCATGCTAATCTTACAAAGCTTGGGAATGGCACTAGAATCCGCAGTCTTGGATTCAAAACCAGATTTATTACTGTCATGGAAAATTAAATCACAGACCAGAAACTTCAGTCTCTTACCAGATACTTCAAAGGTTAACTTTACGGAGTTCTGGGGCATCAGCTCCCTGGACAGAACTTTGAAGTGAACTGGGCTTCTCAGAATAATTTCTGGAGCAGGAAGGTACCAGTTTTTCCTGTGTTTAAAAGAAAAGTGTTAAGTTTTTGCATAATATAGCTGACTGTGCTGTTACTAAATGAAATATTCCAAAGCTACTGATTCTAGCAGAAGGCAGGTAAAATTAGCAGCTTGTGGCAGGCAGATACTGAAAAGGCACATTAATAGGAAAATAGTCAACAATGTGTTCGTTCATTACTTTTGTATGCCTTAATTTACAGAACAAAAATAAAGAGTATTTGCATCTTCATACTGCTACATTTTCTTCACAAGATTCTTGGGCTATGAGAAATAGTCACAGCAGCTAGTTTTCCTGTGGAGATCAGCTATTCTAAACTTCCTCTGCAGTCAGCTGAGGTAGGGGAAGAAGAAGAAAAGAGATATACACACGCCTACTCTGAACTGCCATTTAGAAGCTCCCGCTTCACCTTTCTTTCCACTCGTGCTGACACTGATTTTCCACATCAACTTCTACAGCTTCTGCAGCACGCTAACGATCTTGCAAGAGATTCTGGCAGAAGACACTGCACCTAAACAGAAGTTTGTCTTCTGAAGTGGAATGATTATTTACTTTATACCAAGATTAGCCTTACTTTTTCTTCCCTTACATGAGTGAGACTGCATAAATGACCAATGTGCTTTGGCAGTAAGTGCTCAAGTGATGCAGTGGTCACACCAACCGGAACATGAAATGCACTGGTAGAATCCAAGGAAAACCACAGAAAGGTGCCTGCTCCTCACATGGAGTTCTAATGGTGTCATTGATTTCAGGTACATGGGGAGTTATGTGAGACATTCCATTATAATCAAATCCATTAATCCATATACCAGAGTCACTTTTAACCACATTTCCGTCTAGATCATGAAATCTTCTGCTCATGTGCTAGAAGAAAAAAACAAAAAAACACCCAAAAGCAAAACTAGAAAGGTGATGGCGCATGTGCAGTTCTCAAGAGTCAAAAGTGATTCTGAACACTCTTCTGTGTCAATCCTTAAGGTCTACTGCATTTTCAGTGTGCACAAGACATGTATCTGCATATTTATGATTATATAGAGAGAACTACTCAGATGAAATAAACATAGCATAAACCACCTACATTCAGAAGATGACTGTGCCTGCACGTATTTGCTCACCTTGACAAAATCTGCTTTTTAAATTATCATTGCTTATTCAACTCTCCCACTTAAAACCCCCTTTTAAAGGCCCTGCTCTTCTGACACAAATAAACTGAACACAGAGATTGAACGATGGAAACATTCACAACTGACAGAGGCAATACGATATGCAGTGCTTTTCTTACCTGGAGAAAGACACGCTTAGGCCTTGGATTAGCTGCATCAGAACTGTAAGGAAAGAAGATTCCACTACAAACGAGAATCAGAGTGACTACAAACACGGCAGTTAAAGTTACTAGAGTCGTTTTTGTGCTTTTGACAAGGTAAATGAAGTTAATCTAGAGAATAAAAAGACAGACCAGTTATAAAACTGCAAGACTTAAGAAATAAGACACTATTTCTGTAACTCTAAAATCCAATTACGGAACTGAAACAACATTGACAAGATACTACTGCAAGTACTACCTGACACAAGACACTTCTTTGTAACCTTAGTATTGACAACCAAAAGGAGTAAATTTAGTACTTCCCTGAGCTTTCAAAAGTTTCCTGGTTTTAACAACATCTGCCACCAAAAAAATAGAACGTTTGTGGCAAGCACAGCATGAAAAAAAAAGCTTGAGATTTTTTTTTAAGTGTAATGAATGTATTGTTCAGCCACATACTAAACTTCACATAAAATGAGTGCCTTAAATATGCATTAAATTGCATGTTTTACAACAATATTTACTACATTATCATAGGGAAGATGTATTTTTGTAACCCCTGCCTCAATGACTTTTCTCTGACTAACACAAAACGTGGAATGTTTGACATATTTTCTGTAAGTTTCCTGTAACATTTAAGATACTGTCAAATTAACTTCAAATGCTAACTTAGAAAAACTCTAGATAAAATGTAAAAGTTTCAAACAACATTTACAAGTTCTACTTACAAAATAGGATGATAGAATCATAGTCATGACCACAATAAATCCTGCCAACACCACATCTGGTGGAATTTCTGACCCACTTCGTCCCATGATAGGTGTAAACATTTCAAACACAGTCCAACTTAGATACATCATATACACATAGGGAACAAACATTCCGAGCATGTACATTGTGACAAACTTCATTGTGGCACCTATACAGTACAGGAAAAAGAAAAAAAAAAAGAAGACAAAGAACCCACCAAAGCTTAAAAGGACATAAACACACAGCTTTACTAATATACCTATCCATACACTGCTGCAGGGCCCAGTGCACAACACTGGTCATCCTCCCTGACACAGATATGGGAAAAGGATCTCTTTTGGCAAAGCCAGTACCAATGTTAACTCTTTCAGAAACACCACAAAACTATTATTATATAAAACCAAAGCAAACTAAATAAACCGGTGTTCTGTCCCAACCAGTATTTGAATATTACAGTATTTTCTAACAATCTTTACTGTCCCGCAAAGTATGCAATCACTTATTAATAACCCCACACAGAGTTGTTCTTTTTAGCCTGAGAGGATGTTTTTCAGTGTATTTTTCAGAAAGAACTGTCTTTAGTTCAAGAACACTTCTTGTTCCAAAAACATCACATGCTTACTTTTACTCTTCAAATTCAAGTTCAGGATTTCTATTCCCTAAATACAAGCTCCTCCCCTCAAAACTCATACCTTTTTGGCTGAATTCTTTATGGATCACCAGCTTTGTAAGTAAAGGAAATGCCACCCATAATGTACAAATGAACGCAGAACAAAGGCCCATCTGAGTAATCACAGCCAATGCTATGGACCAAATCATCAGAGAGGCGTCAAAATAAAGATCTCCCAGGTACTGCTCATTCATATTCTGTAACAAAAAAAAGCAAATACTTATTACTAAGCATATTCCATGTATAACCTCTCATGAAAACACATACAAAAATCCTTGTATCTTGTATATCATAGAATCACAGAATGGTTTTGGTTGGAAGGAACCTTAAATATCATGTTGTTCCAACTCCCTGCCATGGGCAGGGACACCTTCCACTAGACCAGGTTGCTCCAAGCCCTTTCCAACCTGGCCTTGAAAGCTGCAAGGGATGGGGCAGCCACAGCTTTTCTGGGCAACCTGTGCCAGTGCCTTGCCACCCTCATAGTGAAGATTTTTATCTCCACTCTGTCAGTTTAAAGCCATTTCCCCTTCCCCTGTCACTACAGGCCCTTGTATGTCCCTCTCCAGATTTCTTGTAGGCTCCTTTAGGCACTGGAAGGCTGCTCTAAGGTCGCCCCAGAGCCTTCTCTTCTCCAGGCTGAACAACCCCACACACAACCCCCCAAAACAATGTAACTGTTTTCCTTGGATAAAGTAATTTTGACAAGCACCATCTCGCCATTCTCTGACCACTCAGAGTTATCCATGACAGCATGGGGTGTTTTTTTAAATCTACTCTGGCATACCTTGAAAAAGAGCATGGGCTAGGTAGGGGGAGGAGGGAACATACAATTGAAAATACCAGTAAGATGGAAAGCTGATGTTTCAGGTACACAAGAAATAGGGCCTTTTTATAAAAAAAAAATAGTATTTGTGAAGAATATAGAAAAGTTATGCAGTACTTATTTGTGAAAAAAAGTATCTACATCTCCTCAGATTCTAAACCTGATTTTTAACTGCAGCTGTTCATATGCTTCTTAGACAAGGACTGTTATTTAGTGCACAAATATGTATGTGGTGCCTTATATGTCATGCCACAGCTACCACTTCCGAAATCTGCTTCTGAAATATATTATATGTTTTGAAGAATAGACGTGCATGGATCATATCATACCAGATACATTTTCAAAACAGAAGGAATTTTAACTGTCAGAAACCTGGTTTGGTTTTGTGGTGTTGTTTCTGTTTTTTTTTCTTTTTTTTTGTTTTTTTTTGTTTTTTTTTTAAGTTTCCTTGGAAATGCTCCAGTGTTTGCAGTGTCAGATTCTTTATTATGAACTCTGCTAGCAGCAAAGAGAACTGCTTGCATGGACAAGCTATCGGAAAGCACATTGTTCAGTTTTGCGGTTGGGGGTGTGGGGAACATAACTAAAGCCAAACCTATTTCAAAACAAAAAGCTTGTTAATTCACAAGTTCTTGAGCCTCTGATGGAAAACACCCAGGCATTGTTTGTGATAGCCAAGTAAGAGATTAGCTTCAAAATTTTTTTATGCAACTCTTAAGCATAATATAAATTACAGATGCAGCGTGTGTGCAGTGTACTGCAAGATACAGCATCCAGGAAAATTAAAAGAGACTCATGATATCAAGTTGGATGATCTGCTGATGAGACAATTAGCAGGCAAGAAGTAGATCCAGAGTCTGTAGCAACTGAACAGTTAGCAAAAGTATACTCTCCCATCAGCTCTTCCAAAAGACTAGAAAATGGTACCATTCCATCTATTTCATAAATGGCTGAGCTTTTCTGCAAAAGGACAACACCACATACATGTTTGTTAACCTACATACACAAGTTAACACTCCCTTCCCAAACAATTAAAAAACTCCACTTCCAGATAAAGACATGATCAATCCACCTGGAAGCAACAATACAATCAAATTTCAGTAAATTTCTTAAAACTTCTTCAAATACTTCCATTAAGCTGTATTTGACTGACAGCTTTCCTCAACTTCCTTGCCCAAAGCTTATACACGTGGTCAAGAAGACAAGTAATGGCAAGCAGAATGACTAAATATTACTGTGCCCAAAACCTAAACCTAACATGCTCAAGTAGCTGACTTCGGCTCTAGAAGACTATCTTCTGTTGGGTACCATCTTGTGTTCGGGCCCCAGAGCTGGATGCAGTACTCCAAGTAGGGTCTTAAGAGGCCGGAGTAAACAGGCAGAATCACCTCCCCTGACCTGCTGGTCACAAACTAGAACACTGAAAAGTATCAAAAAAACTAAGTTCTCCAACTGTTGCTATGCTCTCTTATCACTGAAATGATGGCAAGAAGTGATGGTGCAGGTAAGGAAAGAAACAGTGCCTTATAATGGATTATACCAGGCTTTTGCCTTTTTTTCCTGAAGCAGCTCCTAAACATCATTAACAAGGAGAAAGCCTTACATCATGAAGCTCGTAACTCTGTGTTTCAGTAGAACAATCCCTATGCTTAGGTGAAGCAGTTACTACAGCAACATTTTAAATATTTCTGCCCGATACAGAAAACCTTTTGTATCTTTTTTAATCAACTCAAAGACTAAGTCTTCCGCAGATTACACACTACATTACCTTTCAACATTAGCAACAAAGTCAAGCCTACCTTGTAGAAGAACTCCTTGGCTAGTGTATGCACAAGGATGAGATTAGCTGCAGCTGCAGTGCCGTACAGAAACACAGAAACATAAAAGTGGGTGTACCAAGAAAGAGACCGTCCGATGACAGAGACAAACACTGCCACTATAAGGACTGTCACCAGTGTGCAGATCCAACTTATCAGTGTTAAGCCAAATGCAGTAAAGAATTTCTTCAGGTTATGCATAGCTATGAAGAAGAAAACAGAAGTCTCAACAGTTATGTATTCTACCGCAGACTATCATCAAGACTGTAGTTACTCCACAGTATAATTGCTGTAATGACAAAAATAAACCTGCATGAGTTGTTCACGCTGAAGATTTCTCAACAACAGTCTAAATCATTTAGCCTATTTCTTTGCTGGTCTTTTTTAAGTTTTCCTCACTGCAAGATTTATTCCCAGACTAGCAGTGTATTATGTGGATTACCGTGTTCCCAAATGTAAAAATTTCTCTGGGGAACCAGCTGATCCACTCTGACAGTTATAAAGTGTCAAAAAAAATTTAAATCTGAGTTGCTTTTGTTGTAACTTTTTCTTACTCCAAAAATGTTTACTGGATTTCGTGGGGAGACGCTGGTGGTTGTTTCAGTTAAGATTTTTTTTTTTTTTTAGCACGTATGTTTCTACACATACCTCAAAAGGACTAACTGGGAGATTTCAGTTGTTTTACACCGTTTATTAAGCTTTGTTATCTTTTTCCCCAGTTGTTGTTTTCTCATTTGCTCCTGAAGAAACATGATTCTGAAGCCATCCATACCTGTGCTAACAGAATTTCTGTACGTAATCAATTTTTTTTTTTCATTTTCAGATCTTTCATAGGATTCTATTTTAACCTTCATGAAAGGGTAAGAGATATGATGATTTGTAAGTGATAAGACATCACAGACTCATAATTATTCACAGCTGAGAAATGTAAATACAAAGCAACTCCTATGGCATGCTGCACACCTGAAATTTATTTCTGAAGTTCACCTGAACACTTCTTAATCAAATAAATGTTATTCATTAAAGAGTAATGTGATTGATTTTCATATTTTTTCCCCCAAGAACTACACTTACCTCTGGTTTTGGGCTGTATTACTTTCTTGCTTAGATAAAAAGAAGCAATAACTGCTGTAATATAGTTCATGATAGTGCCAACACGAGCAGGATAAACCAGGACAAATAAACCAAGTACATCGAAGAACACAACATTTCCATGTCGATACTCAAAGGATTTAGCCAATTTATCTGATGTTGCTAGGTATTTCAGGACAGCTAGAATATTGTCACCTATTAAAAAAGGAGATCACAATCACAATATGCTAGAGATTGGAAGGGACCTCGAAAGATCATCTAGTCCAATCCCCCTGCCGGCGCAGGAACACCTAAATAATGTTACACAGGAATGTGTCCAGGCGGGTTTTGAATGTCTCCAGGGAAGGAGACTCCACAACCTCCCTGGGCAGCCTGTTCCAGTGTTCCGGCACCCTCATTGAGAAGATGTTTCTTCTCAAGTTTAAGTGGAACCTCTTGTGTTCCAGTTTGTACCCATTACCCCTTGTCCTATCATTGTTTGCCACTGAGTAGAGCCTGGCTCCATCCTCGTGACACTCCCCCTTTATATATTTATAGACACTTATAAGGTCACCCCTCAGTGTCCTCTTCTCTAAACTATAGAGACCCAGCTCCCTCAGTCTTTCCTCATAAGGGAGATGCTCCACTCCCTTAATCATCTTCGTTGTCCTGCGCTGGACTCTCTCCAGCAGCTCCCTGTCCTTCTTGAACTGAGGGGCCCAGAACTGGACACAATATTCCAGACATGGTCTCACCAGGGCAGAGTAGAGGGGAAGGAGGACCTCTCTCGACCTACTAACCACCCCCCTTCTAATACACCCCAGGATGCCATGGGCCCTCTTGGCCACAAGGGCACAGTGTTGGCTCATGGTCATCCTGTCGTCCACTAGGACCCCCAGGTCCCTCTCCGCTACACTGCTCTCTAACAGGTCGTTTCCCAACCTATACTGGAACCTGGGGTTGCTCCTGCCCAGATGCAGGACTCTACACTTTCCCTTGTTATATTTCATCAAGTTACTCCCTGCCCAACTCTCCAGCCTGTCCAGGTCTCGCTGGATGGCAGCACAGCCTTCTGGCGTGTCAGCCACTCCTCCCAGCTTAGTGTCATCAGCAAACTTGCTGATAGTACACTCAATTCCCTCATCTAAATCCTTGATGAATATATTAAATAATACCGGTCCCAGTACTGACCCTTGAGGCACTCCACTAGTTACAGGCCTCCAACTAGACTCAGCCCCATAGACTACAACTCTCTGGCTTCTCTCCTTCAGCCAGTTCACAGTCCACCTCACTACCTGATCATCCAGACCACACTTCCTCAATTTAGCTGTGAGGATGCTGTGGGAGACTGTGTCAAATGCTTTGCTGAAGTCAAGGTAGACCACATCCACCACTCTGCCATCATCCATCCACCGTGTTATTTCCTCATAAAAGGCTAAGAGATTGGTCAAGCATGATTTCCCCTTGGTGAAGCCATGTTGACTGCCCCTCATAACCCTCTTATCCTTGATATGCCTTAAGATGGCACCAAGGATAAGGTGTTCCATCACTTTCCCAGGGATGGAGGTGAGGCTGACTGGTCTATAGTTACCCGGGTCCTCCTTCTTGCCCTTTCTGAAGACTGGAGTGACATTTGCTTTCCTCCAGTCCTCAGGCACCTCTCCCGTTTCCCAAGACTTGGTAAAGATGATGGAGAGTGGTCTAGCAATGACTTCCACCAGTTCCCTCAGCACCCGCGGGTGCATCCCATCTGGACCCATGGATTTATGGATGTCCAGATTGCTCAACTGGTCTCTAACCCATTCCTCATCGACTAAGGCAAACCCCTCCATTGACCTGACTTCATCTAAGGTCTCAGGGGTACAGGGCTCTTCAGGACTGCCTGCAGCAGAGTAGACAGCGACAAAGAAGGCATTCAGTAACTCTGCCATCTCTGTATCTTCTGTCACCAGGGCACCCATCCCGTTCATCAGTGGGCCTACATTGCCTCTGGTGTTAGTTTTGTCTGCCATGTATTTGAAAAAGCTCTTTTTGCTGTCCTTGACCCTTCTCGCCAGGTTTAATTCTAAGGAGGCCTTAGTCATCCTAGCTGCCTTCCTACATCCTCTAGCAGCAGCCTTATATTCCTCCCAAGTGGCCAGCCCCTCCTTCCATGACCTGTAAACCCTCCTCTTCCACTTGAGCATACCCAGCAATTCCCTATTTAGCCATGCAGGTCTCCTGGCCCTCTTCCTTGACTTCCTACGTGTCGGGATGCTCTGATCTTGAGCTCGGAAAAAGCAATCCTTGAATGCCAACCAACTATCTTGGGCCCCTTTACCTTCAAGCAGCCTTGCCCATGGGATTTCCCCTAGCAATTGCTTGAAAAGGCCAAAGTTTGCCCTGCTAAAGTCCAGGGTTGCAATTCTACTTGGTATTATACTAGTCCTACCACACAAGATCCTGAATTCCACCATCTCGCGGTCGCTGCAACCAAGGCAGCCCTCAACCCTTACTGCTTCAACCAGATCCTCCTTGTTAGTGAGGATACACAACATAACTATATCAGGGGTGACATATCAGCACACACAATTTTTTTATGCAAGCATTCTTGAAAAAAGAAACCCAGAACTGTACTGAAATATCCTCAAAGACATGAGTATACAACTGGTTATTGTGAAATAGGTATTCAATGGTAGACACAGCATTGTATTTTCATGAGTTCACCTATACAGCTGTCACGAAAATAAATGTATTTGGGAAGCTCCATGTATTTGAACACTGTTGCAATGAAAGGTGCAGTGAAGCTTTCAGCCCTTAAGTTATAGAATCACAGAATAGTTTCGGTTGGAAAGGACCTTAAGATCAAGTTCCAACCTCCCTGCTATGGGCAGGGACACTTCCTACTAAACTACGTCATCCAGGGCTCTGTCCAACCTGGCCTTGAACACTGCCAGGGATGGAGCATTCACAACCTCCCTGGGCAACCCATTCCAGTGCCTCACCACCCTAACAGGAAAGAATTTCTCCTTATATCTAATCAAAACTTCCCCTGTTTAAGTTTTACCCCTTACCCCTTGTCCTATCACTATAGTCCCTAATGAAGAGTCTCTCCCCAGCATCCTTATAGCCTCCTTTCAGATACTGGAAAGCTGCTACAAGGTCTCCACACAGCCTCTTCTTTTCCAAGCTGAACAGCCCTAACTTTCTCAGTCTATCTTCGTATAAGAGGTGTTCCAGTCCCCTGATCATCCTCGTGCCCTCCTCTGGACTTGCTCCAACATCTCCATGTCCTTATGTTGAGGACACCAGAACTGTACACAATGCACCAAGTGGGGTCTCACATGAACTGAGTAGAGGGGCAGGATCACCTCTTTCAACCTGCTGGTCATGCTCCTTCTGATGCAGCCCAGGATATGGTTGGCTTTTTTGAGATCTGATATTAAGCACTGGACTTCATGGTGAACCCACAGAGGAGTTCATAATTTCCTAATCTTCCTCCTCTTCTTGCCATTAGTAACCCCCCCATGTTTCAATGACAAGTACCTGCCCTGATTTCCGTAGATGACTGTAAGACAGGAGACAAGGAGGTTTCCTCTGTAGCGAATGAGGTACCAAACAACTTTTTTTCCCCCACAGTACAGCAAAACCACACGTATTTAAATGAGAACAGCAGTGTTCCTTAACTTTCATTTTGCTTCTGACCTGAAAAGTGCTTATTAGTTGAAAAGTTTCTTTTTCTTCCCAGCTGTGACACATTAAGCAAGAGATATTATATGTAACCACCATGACCAGTAAAATCATCTTTCAAAGGAAATTTAAAAATGTTACTTTCTGTCCTGCAACTTGCACTTCAAGAAAGTGTTTAAAACTCTTACTCATGCTGGAGATCTAAGCTGACTTCTTTGGAAGCTCAAAGAGGGAAATGGCCAAAATACCAGAGGCACTTAGAATCACATTAGTTTTCCTGAGAAACTAGAGGTCTTGCTGTAATTTTCTTTACTGCAGTATGTCAAATAGCCTGCTCTGAGCATGACCTGTTAGTAGAAAATAAGTCCTGTTTATCAACAGTCCATGTGCTACATTTAAGTTTGACTGAGATCCATTCTAAAAGAAAACCCCCTGCTGGCAGATCAAGTCCCTATGCCCCCAACTTAACCATAAGCTTCCCATGATGAACATCAATCAGTAAGGGTACTTACTGAGAAAAAAGGAACGCAGACCACTGAACAATCAGGTATCAATAACTAGATTTTAACCTTAATTAGATTCCACAGTTACTCTCAAAACAACATTACTGGGTGCTGAAAAAGTTTATCTTCCTAAGTTGAGCTAACATATAACCTTTGTATTTTAAAGACACAAATATTCAGTTAATTCTTTGTTCTTCAAGAACATGTCTAGCATGTGCTAAATGTGTAATTAAAACTACGAATTTCTTGCACTGATAGTCTTAACAGCAAAATGAAAAAGCAGCAAGTTTAGTAAATAACCAAATTCTTGAAATACCAACCTGCTCTTTGAATGGAATCTGTTAAAATTCTGTCTGATGTGTCATATTCTGTATGATAAATGTAGCCATTTTCAATAAAAGCCAAATCTATTCCTATAGAGACAGAAAAAGGATATTTGAAATTATGTAACCTAAAACCTCAAAACAAACGTGAAAGCCTCAGATATACTTTACACAAAATGTTGTGCTACTTTGCAGCCCACTCACTATCCCTAAAGATAGACAAAATAGTCTGCAGAAGGAAGACTAACTGGGATTCTGTGTGTGTTTAAAAAAGTACACTTTAAAAGCATTTTAAAGTATGTCTTTTGTAGTGTACTGTTTATCGATGTCATGCAAATTAAACTGATATTTACTGAGAAACAAAAACATTATTAATCATCTCAGCTTCAGGGAAGAGGAACAAGTTGATTCCAAACATTTACTAGTAAAACATCAATAGGGATACACACTGAAAAGTAATAAAAAGCAGCACTGTGGAGCTATAGAAACACCTTCTCAAAATACCACGTGTGTTATTTTTATTTCCCATTTGTAAGCAGATTTTCAAACAGACAGTCTGAAAATTCTCAAATTAAATTACCAAAATAGGTTTTCTGCAAAATTAATTATACATTCAGTGTATTCCAAACACATATGCCTTCAGCTGCATATGCAAAAAGTTGCTGTCTGCCATCTGAATCCTCACAACTTTGCAGAGGTTTAATAAATCAGACCTCAATACTATCAGCAAAGAAGAATAAACTAGTTCTTTAACTCACTAACCTCATTTGTATTTGTTTAAAAAAAACAGATGTCAGTGAGAATTCATTTACCATTTATGATGCAGGTACGATTCTGAACAAACAAAAACTCATTGTACAAAATCAGTTACTTTATTTTCAGGCTAAAACCATACTTTGGAACAGTTCATGCCAACAGTTCATGCATATTCTTTGGAACAGAATATGCCAACAAGTTTTGTTCTAAGAATCATTGCAGAGATACCACTGACAACAGACATCAACAACCTGTGCCAGACAGCAAGTATTTACAGAAGTTTACATTCCCTTGAATTGTTTGTACTGTGCTCTCCATATTGTCTTCCACTGATAATTCTCTGCAGAACTCGTAGCAAACTATAAAACAGATTAGCAAAGCTAAAAAACTGCTGTCCTGTGCTTGATTATGACCAAATAAAAGTTATGAAAATGCACTCATTGCTAAGTCAGTATCTTTAAAAAAAAGTGGGTTTGGTTTATCCATTACATACAAACATTTAATTCCCACAAACAGGTTATTAGCTTCATTATCAAAATGTTTACAAACAGAATGTTTGACAGCATACTGTTAATTCCGGGATTTTCAGGAAACTTTCTGGAAAACAACAATCTCCAAAAAAGATTCTTAACAACCTGCACAACAAAATAAATTTAAAGGCTCTTGCCCTAGAAAATAAGCAGGAAAATTTGCTCCCAAACTGAAAGACAAATCAAGTTTGTGGACCTTCACAAGAACTGCAGAACAGCCTCCTTGTTATAAACTTAAAATAAATGATTGCACAATGCACATTGACATGTCTTCTGGTAAAATACCTGGAATGTTGCCAAAGTCCCTGTAGATACGGAAGTCTGTATCTGCTGGGATAATACCACTCTGAAATACTTCCTGTGCTACCACAGAGGCAAAGGGATGTTTGGCTGCAACTACGTATGCTTGCACCAACCAAGGGTTCTCAGGTCCTAACAAAAGATGAGCAGAAAGTTCATAACAGATACTTTTCAAACTTCAGTTAAGATATGTATCTTTATGGTAAGAGGTATGTAATGCAAACAAACTCACTAATTTCAAAATGCTGTTGCCCCACAGGTGATATACTAAGTGAACTTGTGTTGGCTGAATTACTCAAACTTGGGAGAAATAACTAGGTATACTGGGGGGAAAAAAGCCAAACAACCCAACACTGATGCCTTGTCTGTGCAGTGGCAGAGTAGATCAGCTGTTTCTCAAAAAAGACCCAGTATGAAGAAGTCACAATCTTTAGCAGAGTTTCCAGTTTATCATCTATGTATCACACCTCAAAACTGTTTAGAGAAAAGTCTCTGCACTAAAGCATTCCTGCAAGTAAACAGTTAAGCAGCCCCAGCAGTAGAAGAAAGTCTGCAGTCCAATTAGGGTGGAGCAGAACTTAAATGTAGCCTGCAAACACAGAAGTACTGCTGCATCCTGGGCAGCAGATGGAGATCTAATACCAACACCTCCCTGCAAAAACTTTAAAGAACTGCTGTGAAAATTAAATAAAGCATATGAAAGCATGTGTACACAAGATACACAAGATATCCAAATCTCTTTTTCTCCTTGTTACCTAGATGTGAAAGGGAAATACAATTTCTGTCATTCAGTTCTACAAAGGCTTCCCACCAATTAGGCAACTTCTGTGGCAGTGCTTCAGCCTACACACATCTAAATATGGAGAGCAACTTATCTACTACACAGGGTTGGGAAAGAGGCACAGAGGTTCTCCCATCTTTTGCTTATGAGTCACTTTTAATAATCCTTCTACTCTATATTATTTATTATCAAATTATCCCAGTGTAGAAAGTGAACACAACACAAGCTCATACCTGTTTGAAAAACAAGTTCTCTTCCTCCTACACCTGCTGCCTCCAGGTTAATAAAAGCTCTAATTGACTTGGCCCACTCATGTTGTGTAATGAAGCCATGACTAGCCTTGATGGGAAAACAAAATTAAAAAATACAGGTCAAATATCTTTCAGACCAGCTGAAGTGCTATTTTTCTATCACGTACGGTCATAACTCAAGATTGGAGAAGGCAGACAGGTCACTTACAACTCAGATGCAGAAAATCCAAGTCCTCCAATTAGGCTAAGATGGTCAGTATTAATCTAAATACATTTTTCCCTTTGAAAGCAAATGCCTTTTCCTCAGACTGTTAAGACTGGCATTTAACTAATATTTCAACAGATTAAATACAAGCCATACCTGCAGTTACTCTTTCCTTTGTGAGAGTCTTAATACACAGCTTTCATGTATATTTTATAATTCCAGCATATTCTCACCTGCAAAATATTTTCTTCTGCACCATTGAATAAGAATATGACAGCATGTTGCAGGGGCTCTGATGATTTTGAAAGCGTATTAAGTATTTCAAGCATCACTGCGCAGCTAACAGCATCATCACTGGCACCTTAAAATAATCAGAATAATATGGCTTACAAGAAACACAGAATTGCAACAAAGTAAGAGTATAAAAAAGCTTTATGCTTTCTAAGTGACTTAATCTGACATACAGTTATGTCAAGCTTTAGTATATTTTCTGCTACTGCTTGTAACCTATGTTTATACTAGTTAAAAGCAACAGCAGAGAGCAAAATGATGTTAGAAGTTGAGCAGATCTAGTACTACTGTTCCAGAAAAGCAGACTAACCAGGTCACTAAGCAAGCAAAGTGATCGCTGGCTATTTTTCTAAGAACAATACAAATAAACAAGGGCACAGTTTTCACTTCCAGCATACACAAGTTTAAAAAAAATAAACATGCCCACAAGGCTTCCCACTATAGCATCCAAGTGGACAAAACCTCAGAGCAATGTAAGGCCAAGATTGTGAAATAAAGCAAACACCTTTGCTTTGAACTCACACCTTTAAAACATTCTTAAAATGCAAGTAATACATTATAATATGGTATTTGCACTATCAGATGCTTTCCACCACCCTTCTTTGCAGAAAACACCTTTTGCTCTGAGCTCAGTGGTCTGTTCTAAGTTCCTCATTGTCCTGGGTTCAGCAGTAGCAGTCATGTTTCTCCTTCGTGGTAGCTGGTGCAGTGCTGTGTTTTGACTTCCAGCCTGGGAACAGTGCTGGTGACACCGATGTTTTCGGTTGTTGCTAAGTGATGTTTACCCTGACCAAGGACTTTGTGAGGCTCATGCTCTGCCAGGGAGGAGGGGAAGCTGTAAGGAAGCAGAGACGGGGCGCCTGACCCAAACTGACCAAAGAGGTATTCCATACCACAGTACGTCATGCCCGGGGTGGGGGGTAACTGGGAGTTACCGGGAAGGACACGGGCTTCCGGGTGGGACTCGTTTTCTTGGCCGGTGGTATCGTATTCTCTTCCCTTGTTATTTTCCCTTACCATTGTTGTAGTTGGTGGTAGCAGTGGTGATTTGTGTGGTACATTGGTTGCTGGACTGTTCTTGTCTTAACCCGTAGGAGTTGCACCCTTTCGATCCTCCTCCCCATTCCTCTGGGAGCGGGGAAGCGAAGAGCCCTGGGGGGGAAGGGGGGGGGGGGGGGGGGGGGCAGGCCTCGATTGCTCTCAACCCAGCACCACTCACTGGGAGTGAGTGAACAAGTTGTCTGGCTAGGGTTTAAACCACGACAGTTCTTTTGCAACAGTTTTCTAGACTTACTCTCACTTCCCATATCCTGCTATTTTTTTAATCTTAATTAAGCATCCATATTTTATCCAAGTTCTCCCTATTTCCCTTGTTTTGCTGCAAGAGGTACCATCTCCCTATACCACTCTAATCCACAAAATCTGAGAGCAAACAGAGAAATTTAACTTCATTCCTTTAGGCCCAGGTGCGCATACGATGCCAACATGCATTGAGATGTCAATGACAGTGTGGGCAGGCTGCAGCATGCTATTAGGGCAGACTTATTAGCTGCTAACTCTTTGATTTACTCATTAAAAAAATGAGCTCTTCCAAAGACTGTAACTTGGCAAGATTCAGACATATCTGCCCCTTCCACAAAAAGGTCATGTTCCTGATACAAACACAAATCTTAGCCTTAGCTTATTGTATGGAGGTATTTTAGAATAAATATACAAACCCAAAATCTTTACTATTTTACATGCATAAGCATCAGCAGCAGATTATGTTTTACTACCTGATTTTCAAATACATTGATCACTGAGTCCTGCTGATTCTGGTTAAATAACTCTTTTTTTTGTGAAAAAAACTGTAGGCAAATAGCTTACATAAATACAGGAGAACAGAAAACATTCTGGCTTATGTTATGTGCACTAAGAAAATGAAAGACCAGTTCCTCACTGTTGTGGTGAAAGGTGAGTCTGATTTGTGATTAGGGGCAAGCATACAGGCTGATTTCTAGCTCCTCCATGGGTTTCTGTATAATCCTACAGAAAACACTAATATTCTTTGGCACCTCTGTGCAAGGTTGGTGAAGTATTTTACTGTCTGAGTAACTGTAAAGAAACTAATTGATGTAGACATAATCCTGTGTTACAACCCACAGAAAGAGATGCACAATTTACATAGGGCATCAATTTAATGACAGTTTCAATAATCATTGTATTATGCTTGTGCAATATTCTTTCCAATTCTAGGCAGCCATATTTAGACTACAAATACAGTAATTAGGATCTCTGTGGTTCATAAATCCTAGAGTGTGTGTAATAACAATGCAGTTCTTAAGCCTCCTTTGAAAACTCACCTAGTCTAAACATGACCAAGGAGAAAGAGAAGTTCTGCATACTACTGGTTGACAGAAAAAAAGGCATAGAGTTTGTTTCTTTAGTTAATAACTGTTTTCTCAGTAATAAAAACTACTTGCATGTGCTGAAGAACAAATGGTTTACCTGTCAAAATAATGACATCATGTGAGGTGTAAATGAAGAAACTTACAGTACAAGCAGTGCTGTTAGTGACTGAACTAAACAATAACAGGCACACACCTGTGGCTGAGTGTTACAAGAGGTATTTTCGTGTGGTGCTCAGTTCCCTACCATTCTGGTACTCTTAAAACCATGTATCACACTCTTGTTGCAATCATTACATAACATGATTAGATTTATAAAATGCAGAGGGACAAGTATAAGAGAGTTTGCAATAGGGAAGTACTGGCAAGATGTAGACACCACCAAGGCAACAGAACCTTAATCTTTGATCACTACAGTCTTTTGAGACAGAAACTTTGAATGAAAAAAAAAAAAATTAAAAAAAGGCTTAACTTAAGGCTATCACACTAAAAATCTGAGATAAAGAGATAAAGTATGACAGCTGCAAAGGGAGGGGCAAATACAGTCTGACTAGTGAGGGTGGGAACAGTCTGTGGCACAAAGCATCCCATGAAAGAAAAACCAGGATTAAATCAGTACCCAACTATGGAAATATGAAAGACCTGAACAACAGGTGGAAGCAGCACATGAACTACATGCATAAGCAAGGAATTATAAGAAAGGTAGGTATAACCAAACTTTCTAGAAGTCTAAATATAGTTAGACTGCAAGTCTGTAATTTGCTGCCTCCCATAAAGCGACAGTGAAATCCTCACGTTAACAGAACCAAGCTCTCTCAGAACCAAACTGAATCTCACTGATATCAAGCAGACCGACACATGCAGTATTCTAGCATATGGTTTATAAGGCTACTTGATAGAGAAAGACAGCAAGCCAAGCTCTGTGGCTCATTTAATATAGAGAAATGCAGAATGAACACGTGGACCTACCTGGGGTATTTGGTACGGAATCAAAGTGACAATTGGATAACACTGCATGCTCAGCTCCATTTCGGGGTTCCAGCTTCACTACAACATTGGTTATGTTTGCATAGTAACTAGTAAAGCCTCCTAAAAAGTCAATGCTGAAGGAGCCTGTGGGCCTCTGTATGTTTACAGATATCTTGTGAGCACCTGTGCTTTCTCTTTCTATTGCCCTAATTTGTTCTAAGAGGTAGTTAACTGCAAGAACTTCATTTTCTGGACTTCCAACTGGTCTGGGCCCAATTGCTGTTATGTTGTCAAGATATCCCCTGGAAGAGACAAATTACACATTCAGCATCAACATATTCATTTAGTATGTGACTTAACTGTACCATTTTTGGACACAGTTCTATTTCAAAACTCACTGTATATGGAAGAGACTAAAGACAACAACTAGCAATGGCAGTCAGGATGCTGAAGATCATTATGGCAATGGCCATATAGTACTGATCTTTAGTGAGGGCTCCTCATCCTGCCTATCATGATATTAAACCAAAAAACTGGTTTTCTGGTTTGTACATATCAACCTCAAAAGAAATAAAAGGGTGAATGGAGAAGCTAAAGATTTTATCTTTAGCAAGGTTCTGCATATGCATACCTGCTCTTCCCTGGGTGTCTGAATAAGCACACTCTTAACAAGATTTACACCAGCTAAAAAACTGCAAAGAAGCTTTCCCAGACACCAAGTACTTTATAACAGTACCAGAATTAAACTATGTAGGATGCATTGCTTGACGGGCCTAAAATAGCACCCTTAAGAGACAGCCAATATGACAGCTGGCACACTTGCAGTATTTTTACTTACTTTACACAAGCGCCCAGCCTCTTGTCAGAGCAGGGAAAGACACAAGCATTCCGCAAGGGACACGACCGGCAAGTGACGGCAAAGGCCCGCACTGGCTCGGCCGGCGCGCAGGACCCCCACAGCGCACACCCGCTGCCCCCACACCACGGTAGGGTCGCTGCAGACCGATCAGTACGGCCGCCCGGAGACAGCGCCCGCTTCCGCTGAGCCTCCCGCCGGCGCACAGCAAACGGCAGTCGAAGCCACCGCCGGCCGCCCTCGGGGTAACCTGGGCGGACTCTGCCCCGCGGACGGCGTGGCACAGGGAAGCCGCCCGGCTCTCCGCCGCCCGCCCGGAGCACCTGCACCCCCCCCCCCCCCCCCCCCCCCCCCCCGCAATACCTGGCGCGGGGGGCGCTGAAGTCGCGGGGCCCGGTGGCGGGCGGCTGGCTCAGCAGCCGCCGGTGCGAGACGTGCACCAGCGCCCGCAGCGCCAGCAGGTACAGCAGCACCAGCGACGCCCCCCGCGCCTCGGACAGCGCCAGCCGCCGCGGCCCTCCACGCTTCTTCCCGACCATGTCGCGGTCGCCGTCCTCCCGCGGTGGCGAGTGGCGGCGGTCGCGGTGGCCGCCGGTCGCGCGGAGCCGCCACACGTTGGCAGCCGCGCCGCGCTCCATGCGCCACACGCTCAGTCAAGGCTGCCGGCGCGAGCTCCGCCGGGCTGACAGGAGGTACGGACACCGACGAGGGTCAAAACCAGCCCGGGCTCCTCCTCGGCTGGGCACGGCGGGACGGGGGCGGGGCGCTGTCCCCGTCTCCTCCCGCCGGCGGTTTGGGTGTATTGGGCAATGTGCACGGGGCCCGGGGTGTCGGTGGTGGTCGCTTTTCGACTTTCGGGCCCTCGGCGGCGGTTGTCGGTGGACGGTGCCCGTCCAGTAGCGGTGGAGACCTCGGGCGGACAGCACCGGGGCGAGCCGCGGCCTGACCCTGCTCCTGGCCCAGGGTAGCCCCAGTTTGCGGGCAGCGCACAAAGATGTAGGGGCCTTCGTGTTTCACGGCATTTTGTTAAAGCTTTCTTTATTAACACTAAAGCACAAGGGAAAGCGTGCGCAAGTAACTATGGTGTCAGTGGGGGAGCAGTAGGGAGCACCACAACCACCACACCATAGGTGAAGGGTGGTGGAGCCGCGCTGACATGAAGTCAAGGCGCCAGCGGTGTGCGAGCGTTGCTGTTCTTTACACACACTGCATTTCGGCATTTGGTAGCTGTAGCACTGCCCTGGCTGGAGCCGAGGTAGCCCAGGGTGAAGTGCAGGAACGCCTGCCTGGACATGCCGGTGAAAGCAGCCTGCAGTGAAGTCTTGACACGGAGAGAACCCGTGAGGGTGGGGTCCTGAGCTGTGACACAGACCATCGCTCCTGCGGCACTCTACTTGCTGCTCCCTGCTGGAACGTGCTTCTTCCCGCTCCTGTGGTGCCTTTGAGTGATGGGACCGAGCTATTTGATGGTCATTTTTCCTATCTTTACCGCGCTGCTTTGCAATGTACCTGGCTACTCCTGAATATATCCTAAAAGATACTTGTTTCTTGTGCTCTGTAGCATAACCTGGAAACAAAATATGTGGTGACACGATCCAGAGGAACTGTTTCAATATACCCAGTTTTACAGATAAACACGGGACGTTGCTTCTTCTTACCTCTCTGTTGCCAAATGAAAGCTTCCTAACAGGAGTGCAATACTCCTTGGCATGAAGAAGCCTGAAGGAGTGGTGTGTGAAAATGTGATGACTATGCTGTCTGCACAGCTCAGGTGTTTTAGTAAATTTCCATATTCTGGCTTAGTGAGTTTTCTCCTTTGTTATACTGCACTCCCAGTGCAGACAAGATGACTGCTTAAAGTTTATAATTTACAACTCCGGATTATACTACTAAACTTATTAGAACTGCAAAAGAGTTTAATCCTCAATGGTCTTCTCCCTTTCATTCTTTGAGCAACATCTGAACATTAAAACCCCCTCAGTTAAGGAAAAAAACTGACTACTGATTGTTTGTGACAGTCACACTCTACCGGTCAAAACCATTTTCAATATTCTGTCAATTCAAAATTCAAAAGTAATTTTCTGCTCTAGATCAGAAAGACTTCTGATGTTAGGAATACTGACAGCACTTTTATCATCCGTTCTGTGCACTACATTTGGGAGGGTGCTGCGTGATGTGGATTTTGCTGGAAGTATAATATATACACGTTTTGACATGACTGGAACATCAGAGTTAAATACATCAACAAATACAGTGCCCTTTATTGCTCTCTTAGTCTGGAATGACTGATTTAAAGTAATTGGATCTAATTTCCAAACAAATGATTCAGCATAGAATGGTTTGACTTTATGCGAAGAAGGCTGATTCTGAACCTAGTATCTTGCAATCCACACTGCTAGTCTAATCCACTGTCATCTAACCATGGAGGGAAATCCCTTCTTCACTGAGCGTGACTTATACTTGTAAACTAGTTTTTATGCAGAAAAAGTGAAAAAACAATTACCCATCTACAGGGACTACGAGCCTGCTTTGTTTTCTGACTTTGTAGCAAAATCAAGTTAAATGGTAGCAGGATAACATTCTTGCTTAACAAATAAATACAGATGGGAATGTTTTATAGGTTAAGGTCACTATCAGCAATTCAGGGTAAGAGGATTAGAACACTGTCTTCAGAAAAGTATTTAGTTTTGATTAAAAATAAACAATGATGAAGCATCCATCAAATGATCGGTAAACTGTTCCCATGGTCATCTTTCTCATTCAATGTGACTTATGTGTGGTACTCATTTCTTAGCTTCAGTTTTCCATCCATTGGATCCTCTTATACCATTGACTGATAAATTGAAAATCCCTTTGTTACAAGATTTTTGGTCCACTGAAGTTACTAATACATCACGATGAAGACTTTTCTTACATTCATTTTCAATCTTGAGCTTCAGAAACTGTTACTTGTCCAGTCCTTTCATCCTCCTACTAACTGTTCTCTGGTGATTTCCATTTTTTTAGTAACTCCCTGCATTGCTGAATGAAAAGGAGAAGTGGTATTCCAGCGCCCACACCAGTGCCAAACACAAAGGTAAAATAATCACTACCCTGCAGGGAGGCAGAGCAGTTTGTTTGCTTTAACATAAACCTGCTGCCACAGTTGTGAACTGTCAGTTTTGTCCAGCTGTCTTGTAAATCTTTTTCTGTCACTACAGTGTGTTCCAGCCATCCACTCAGTGTCCCATAGCTTCTCTCAGAGGCAGGATCTTCCAGACCAACTTTCAGGGAAACTAAAACTCAGCAGGGAGCAGGAAAGCCTGTGAGGAGGAGAAATCAGATTTTACATCCTGAGTTTCCAGGGCCTATTGTGTCAACCTTTCCTAGTGACACCTGTGGGTATGGAAAAATCTAGCTTCCCTGCACTGAAGTCAGTGTTGGATCATAAACTTACCAGTTACCTCACTCCTATAGCTATAGTGTTGTAACTGGAAGCTCATACTGAATCAATTTTTTACCCCATCTTCAAGGTTGGTTTTTGTCATTACTACTCACAATCCAGTCCCCATTCCTTTAACTATGGCCTGCCTTTGATTCTATATACTGTAAGCTTGAAAATGTTTGCCTTGCAGACTTGTTAAGCTTTCAGTATTGCCCTGAACCAACAAGTGTTCTTTTTGGTTACCTGTAGCTGTCATAGTCTTAAAACTGAAACCAGAAAGAACACTGTAAGAACTCAGTGCAAGAATCTACCCTTGTAAAAAAACACAACAGTTTTGCATAGCCTGTGTTTATTTCAGGTATAAGCAGCTCTTCACTTTGAGAATGCTCCTACACAGGCACTCTTCATGCTGTCAAGGAAGTTTGCATTTCTTCTTCTTGGTCATTGCTGTCTCACATCATCATGTAACTCCACAATACAGCACTTAGCCATGGATGGCATTGTGTGTGGTAGTCCAGTTTAAGAAAATGCCACAGACAACCTAATGAGCTTATCTCCCTTGATGTCTCTACTCTCAGCAGAATCCTTGGAAAAATCTTTCCCAGACATCAACCAGAGGACATTTAGGGCTCATTTAGCCAAATATATCTGTCTAGACCTCAAGATACAAGGACAGAAAATACATCAGCACTCCAAGAACTGGGCATTTCCACCACTGTCCAATAATTAAAGGAGAATGATTAAATTCTGATCACTCATTTCAGAACTAGAAGTGGAAGAACACCCACAGATTCTAGATTGATAAAGCACAGACGGTTGCATGCATCAGCACTGTAATTCACCTTTTGTTCTGATAAGCTTAAGCAGTGCTTTTCCCTCTTCCTTGTGTAGCAGTACTCATTTTCTGTGCTCCTTCTCTTTCTCACCCTGTTATTTTGTAATGGGAGCTGTAATCACAACCAATAATTACATGGAGAAAATTAATCAACGATTGTCAAAAAACAAAACAACTTTTCTTCAGATAGAGGTACACAGCTGTCACAGCCAAGTCAGTCTTCAGGAGCTTCAAGAGCATCCATCTCTTTCCTGTGGATGCTTTACTTTCTTTTCCATGCAGGCTCAGCATTCCCTTTGATTTTAAAGGGAGGCCAGGGCATGATGTTGCTCTGTAGAGAGGAGAGGGGAGTGATGTCTGCTGTGATTTCAGGACAGAGGGTTTTTAATTCCTTTGTGCCCAGCCTGGAAAGGTTCAGTCCACCTTATACTAATTTGTTAAGCTGATAATAGGATAACTGGAATCCAGTACAAATGTAAGCTATTTATTCTTCCTTTATATATTAAGTATCTCACCTTGCACAGACTGACAACTTGGGCCAAACTGTAATCAGTCACTTGATTTCTACCTCTTCTCTAGCCCTTCTGATGCCTACCAGCTGTCACTCCAGCTATCCTATCTTCATAAAATGCAAGAACAGCAATTACCTCCTCCATCAGCCTAACGAAGTTATGCAACTGAGTCACCTCCCTGGTTCTTCTTTAATCACATCAAGATCAATCTAGTTTTTCTCCTTGAAGACCTCAAGTCTCTCCACACTTACCTACATTTCATACCTGGTTTGTTTTAACATCATGTGTCAGCTGTTTTGGCAGTAATGTCAGCCTGTTTATGTCTTCTATAACAGTCTCCCAGTCCTTTCATAGAATCATAGAATAATTAGGGTTGGAAAGCACCTTAAGATCATCTAGTTCCAACCCCCCTGCCATGGGCAGGGACACCTCACGCTAAATCATATTACTCAAGGCCTCGTCCAACCTGGTCTTGAACACTGCCAGGGATGGAGCATTCACAACCTCCCTGGGCAACCCATTCCAGTGCCTCACCACTCTAACAGGAAAGAACTTCCTTCTTATATCCAATCTAAACTTCCCCTGTTTAAGTTTTAACCCGTTACCCCTTGTCCTATCACTGCAGTCTCTAATGAAGAGTCCTCTCCAGCATCCCTATAGGCCCCCTTCAGATACTGGAAGGCTGCTATGTGGTCTCCATACAACCTTCTATTCTCCAGGCTGAACAGCCCCAACTTTCTCAGCCTGTCTTCATACAGGAGGTGCTCCAGTCCCCTGATCATCCTCGTGCCCCTTCTCTGGACTTGTTCCAACAGTTCCATGTCCTTTTTATGTTGAGGACACCAGAACTGCACACAATACTCCAAGTGAGGTCTC